AACCGGGTAGCTGGCGGCTGGAGGGGGACCTGGGCTACCCCTCTGGCTTTAAAAAGCCTTCAGGGAGTGCCTGTGGTCAGCGCTTCCTGACTCACGTTACTCCGCGCGTGCCCCTGAGGTAAGTTGCCCGTTTCTGTGACAAATGAGAAAACGCGGCTTAGCACTTGACAATCCCCTGGACTGGTCTGGTACCAAAGCGGCTCCAGTAAGCCCGACAACCCGCATGCCTCCAACCCAGTGTTCTAGCGCTCGCTCCTGTCGCTGTCATTGGAAAAAAAAATAAAATCTATTTGTAGGCATAGGTGGGCATTTTAATTGATTTCCTACGTGCTGGTTTGTAAATGAAGGGAAGGGACGCTTTTTGTAAACAAACGACATGATCCAGGAGCTAAAGGAAAACAGGCCTGTGCTGACTGTGCCAACTATATAGAATCATAGAATCATAGAATCGCTTTGGTTGGAAAAGACCTTTTAAGATCATCGAGTCCAACCGTTAACCTAACCCTGCCATCCCACCACTAAACCATATCCCTAAGCACCTCATCTATCCTTCTTTTAAATACCTCCAAGGATGGGGACTCTACCACCTCCCTGGGCAGCCCATTCCAGAGCCTGACAACCCTTTCAGTGAAGAAGTTTTTCCTAATATCTAACCTAAACCTGCCCTGGCGCAGCTTCAAACCATTCCCCCTCGTCCTATCACCCGTTACCAGGGAGAAGAGGCCGACCCCCACCTCCCTACAGCCTCCTTTCAGGTAGCTGTAGAGGGCGATCAGGTCTCCCCTCAGCCTCCTCTTCTCCAGACTAAACAACCCCAGTTCCCTCAGCCGTTCCTCGTATGACTTGTGCTCCAGACCCCTCCCCAGCTTGGTTGCTCTCCTCTGGACATGCTCCAGCAATGCAACATCCTTCTTGTAGTGAGGGGCCCAAAACTGAACACAGTATTCGAGGTGCGGCCTCACCAGCACCGAGTACAGGGGCACGATGACTTCCCTTGTCCTGCTGGTATGTGCCGGTGTGCTACGTCAACGCCACGCATAGAGATGAAGGCTAAGCAGTTGGGAAAAACTACATGTGAAAAGTAGGGAAGGTTCCACGGTTGCACGTTGGAAAGTCATTATCCGTAGAAGGAAGTGCAAGCGTGCAAGCACAAACTCAGTTTTAAGCAGCTGTGTGAGCATGATTATTGCCCAACGCTCGGCCGATTTTAAAAGAGTCGATAGGCTCTTCAGATCTTACCATATAAGCGTTCTCACCTGTAGCAGGCCGCTGCATTGGGCCTTGGGGTATGTTATGATTGCCTAAACATCTTGTTTTTACTTTTCTGAAGGAATACCTATTACCAGTGCATCGTACTTTGCCACCATGACGCTTGACCAAGTTAGGCATGTATTTCGCTCTGACACGGAAGTACCCATGCCTCTGATCGAGGAAAGACATCAGGTGATGAATGAAAGCGGAACAGTTCTGTTAGAGAAGTTTGGAGGCTCTTTCCTCACCTGTGTAAAAATGAGCGAGAAAAGTGCTCAGAAACTACTGCGTCTAGTACTGGAACATTTTCCTTCTTACAGAGATGAAGCTGTATTTGAGGTAAGCTAGTTCTAACATTGAATTTCTTGTGATAAGAATTTACTCCTTACTGATTGTGACTTTAAAAGATGGCTCTTCGGTTGCCTGTGTAAATTTTCCTGAGAGGATAGTCAGTTCAGAGTTGATCTGATGGGAAATGGAAGGTGAACAGAAACATTTCTCCAGAACTCAGGGCACTCTAGAAAAAAAAAAAAAATCAAGGTAAATAAGAAGGAAAATTACTCTTATTTCAGTATATTTTCCTCAAATCAGTAAAGATCCTGGTCTGTATAATGAAAGGAAAATCAAACTTTGAAGCAATTGTTCTTAATTATGTAAATTGTTAGGAGTCATGCAGATAGGGAAGAAGGTTTTTTAAATACTACTCTTGGACCACAGTATACTTTTTTTTGTTAAGCTGGGGTAAAATAATTGAGATTTCATTTATCTTACCAGTTTAAACCTCTGAAAAAAAAAATCACACCTTTTTTTAACAGTAAAGGAATCTTGGTTGTCTTAAGTCCTTAACTAATCAGGAATGTATTTCTAATGGCAAGAATCGCCTTTTTCCCCAGAGGAGAGCCGGTTTTTTTTTTCCCATATCCTGTCTCTATCACTTCATTGTGATTTATTTTGATACACTCCAAGTTCCCAATTAGATCATGACTCCTTTGTACTGCTTACTATTGTGTAATATTTGAGAATCAGAATTTTTCTTTCCCCGACCCCCCCCCCCCCCCCCCCT